CAACAATAAACAAACACATAGGGACAGAGATTGGATTGGTGGTTACCAGAGGGGAAGTGGGGAGGGAGGAGGGTGAAAGGGATAATTCGGTACATGTGTGTGGTGATGGGTTGTAATTAGTATTTTGGTGGTGAACATGATGTAGTCCATGCAGAAATAGAAGTACAATGATGTACACCTGAAATTTTTACAATGTTATAAACCAACGTTACCGCAATAAACAAAAAATTTTAAAAAAAAAAAATGGAAAGAGATTCACAATAAAATGTTAAGTGAAAAAGAAGATTATTAAACCACATATACCCATTAAAAATACATATATATGTAGAAAAATTGGTTTATGGTTATGTTGATTTAACCACTTAAATGTTAACAGTGGTTAGCTCTTCATGTTGGAGTTATTTGGAAATTTATAATTTTCTGTTTCCTATCTATTTTTAATGTTTCTATGTTAAACATTTATTATTCGTGTAACTAAAAATACACACCAATAAATCTTACAAAAAGTGAAAAAAAAAAAAAAAAGAAAATCACTTGGCAAAAACATAAACATGACATAAGTATGAATTATTCGGTCTTGTGCCTACCCCTCATCAATCTGCTGTCACCTTTTAAAGGTTTAGCGATTCTCTCCTTATTCATATGCTCTGCCCCTTACTCTGCTACAACAGTCTTCCTCTTATCTGGTTACCCCAACCCCCATTCCTTTGACTTTAGATTCATCCTCTCTCCCTTCCCAGACTCTTCCAGTCGACACAACACAGGAGAAGTTTTGAGCCTGCATCTTTCTCAAAGATCACCACCTACATAATCAACCCAGGCTACCAGCATCCAGCAATCCAGACAAAAACTTCATCTCAGGCCCCCACGTGACAGGAAGAAGGGATAGGCTGTCTTTGGCACCTCATAAAGAATGTCTTCCTTTTCATACCACCTCCTGTGTGCCCAGAGCTCAGTCCTGGATACCCTACTCAGCTTTCCCTACTAATCTTCCCTTCCCACCCCAGCTCACAGGATCTTCATCTTTTGAATTCTTATAAAGCCCAACTCCTGTGATTTTTCCTGTTTAGATGGTATTTATATTCTGCCATTAGTCTTTACTTAGCCTGGTTGGCACCACTCATGTAAACAGTAATCTTTACTATACATATTAAAGATTTTGTTCTTATTATCTCTAAACTAAATCAGGATATAGGGTGTTGCTCCAGTCTCTGATGCACATCCAGTAAAATAAAAGATTATCAGGAACTAAGACCAGATGCCTGCCCCACCCAGAGACCAGCCCCTGTATAACTGGCCTGTAGTCTTTGTTCTGTAAGATGGTTCTTTTGGACATTAGTCCCCCATCTTCCACCTCGCTTGCAATAAAAACCTTTTCTCTCCTACCATCTTTCCTCTCAACTGTTGGCTTGTCTTGCCAGGAGTAGAAGAACCCCCTTTTTTTGGCCATAACAGCCTTAGTAATTTATTCTTATATTCCAAGTAGGTTGAAAACTTCTTCAAGGTGACAACAGCATCTTATATTAATTTATAGTCCTGTATTGCAACATTTTTCAACAGAGCCTGACTTGTGATAGCTGCTAATTGGTTATCCGGGCTTGTTAGTCACACTGGAAGTGACTGATAACAATTCTCTCTTTTAACTGGAGTTTGATAGAGGCTCAGGAAGGCCTGAGGAAAACAGAAACCCATTGTCCCCTGGAGGAAGAGATGCCAGAGCAGAGAACAAGGGCCAAGAAGGGAAATATCCAGAATCTAACAGACAAATGTGGCAAATGTATCATGTTACTCAAGGTCAAGGATGCATATATGTAACATTTTTCAAACGAGAAACTCCAGACAGTTCTTGTTCTCTCAATTCCTCCATCTTTAGTTTTCATTATTGGGAGAATATGTGTACACATCACTGCCTGAACTGGGCTTCACGCAGCTTCAGAGTGCTCTCTTTTGCGGCCATATCATCCCTGACTTTTGTTTTCCCCTTGGGGTTTACCTGGGTCCACCTTGCCCTGCAGCCATCATTCTGATACCAGAAAGCAGTGGAATTAACAAATATAACATGGGAAACAAGAAGCATTACTGATGACTCTAGTAGGGAAAAAGAGCCTAAGAATTAATTTTAACATAGTAATAGATCTTACACACAGAACTCCACTATCAACTCAGACCCAGCCGAAAGAAAATGCCCCTCCACTTTTAATTGAGTGACAAACCCCAAAACAATGGGTTGCTTCATTTGAAACCAGGGAAGGCCATTTTCTTCTAGGTGGAGATTGTGGGGAAGACAGAGGAGGGACCTGAGCACTGTCCACTGCTTTAAAAAGGCAGGACGGCCCCTCATTGCTTTTACCAAAGACTGCATTTCCCTTCTGCATGTCCCCCACTACGTCCATATTAACGAGACAGATGCCTAAATCTTAACCTTAGGTGTCAGTCAGGGAAAATGAATGGTTTCATGGCTAACTGATGAGATGTAACCTCCTCTTTCCAGAGGCAGGATTTTTTAAAAAAGAAATCAATCATCTAGAATGAGTTTCAGTACTAAAAACTAAATTTACTTCTTTAAGTGTCAAACCCTTGAGCTGTATAGCAGGATCCTCTCCTGATAACTGTATTTTTTTAACTCCAATTTTAAAATTATACAAATAAATACAAGTAGACAGTGAATCTGATTAAAATAAAGATGCATGTGTTACTGATATCAGTTTATTGTAGCATTACCATTATTAGAGTCCTTTATTGTCACAGGGAAGAGTGAAGGCCAATTTTGATGCATATATACTTTACCTTAATACAAATACTTTAAGAGAAAAAAAAAAATCCGAGGCTTTTTACTGCTATGCACTTATTCCTCAAATTTCTCTATTGCTTTGGCAATTATACTCCAATTGGATGCTCCTTCCCCATTCCTGTATAAATCCTCCAAAGCAGGAAGAACAAATGTCCAAAAGCCATTGTCATACAGTTCTGTCAAGGACACAAATAAATGAAAGTCTCAAGATTTCAAATGTAACACTTGTTGGCCAAGGCATAATTTGGATGAGCCAATTTTGGGCTTCAATTATTTTATATATACAATTTGTTCTAGGAAGTTAGGACAACATACAGAAAAGTTTAGCTCTACTTAAATTATTGTGAGCAAAAAAGAAATTGAATTTTCAAATGAACAATTGTTGGACTGGAGAAGTCTATTTTGTTTTCTCCACCATAGCGCCTTATCAGTATTACGTGTGCATAGACAAACCATCCAATGAGTTCCCAGAGTTCTTATATTTTCTCTGTTTTAAGGGAATATGCTGCCTACTCACAGTTTAGGTTAGAGAAAGAAACCAAATGGAGGCTTCGTTCAGTTTGACAAACAGTAAAATGGCTTCAAGTCACAGCTGTCTTTCACCTTCTTAATTTTAAACACACGTGAACTTTTCATTGGCAACTTTTGCAACACGGTTCTCAATCATTCAAAAGGTACATTTCAAGGGAGAGGGGAGTAAGAATCAATAACTTTGTGCAATTACTGGAAAACGAAACCGTTATTCATCAGAAAATCAGAGGCTAGATTCTAACTGTAACAAACCTCTTGATCCCGGTCAGTTGCATGGAAATTTACATTCAAATGGAGCACCGAAATAACTTCCCTTCCGGGGGCAGTAAAGATTACAACCGGTTTCTCAGCAGGAATGGCAAGGCTGAAAGAGTAACTTTTGAAGGGGTTAAGCTTGGAGTGCTCTGCATACCAAATAGCAAGAATTCACTTTCCCGTAGACCTGTGGCTCAGGACAGTCAGGCCAAGGAACAAATGCAACCCTGCACAAGATTCTCAGGAACTCCGCAGGGAGAGCACCTCTAACTCGTCCTTTGGGATCCCATTATTTAAGGTAACCGCCTCTGAAATCAAAGATAGTGCTAAATCTATCGGGACCCATTTGATTGAAAGCCCAGAATTTCTATTTGGAAACCAAGGTCCTGGTAACTATGCGTTCTGGAAGTGCTGCAGAACAAATCCTGTGTAGTGTTAAGACACACTAAACAGAGCTGTCCTCCTATCCGAAAAGGAGAGGAGTGGGGAATTAGGAGGAAAGAATCCGCATCCTTTGGATAAAATTGTCCTTTCAGGCTCCACCGGGAGTGCCAGCTGGAGCCCGAGCCCGCGCGCACTGAGGCCCTCTCCCTCTTCACCGCTGGACAAAGCCACCGCTTGGGACTTCCTGGTCCCAAGAGCTCGGTCTGACCTAGCGCCGCTGGCTTCCGAAACCCTAAATGTTGTTCACGCGAGCTTCAGCGCTTCCCAGGGCGTAGGCAAAGGAATGGATCCAGTCTGGGCGCGGAGCGCACGCCTAACCAGAGAGGGCTGGGGAGGCGGGCGGATCTCAGGTCTCTTGGCGTCCCCAGCGCACACACCGTGGCCGGCGGGCGCCTCCCGCAGTAGGTTAAGTGGTGATGCCAGCACGTGCAGACGCGCCTATACAAACAGAAGTCCGCTCTCCCTTCCCACCGATTGTCATTTTCTTTGGTGAGTGCTGACCCCAAGGCAAGCACAGACAAAATCGTTCCGCGCTCCCTCTTTGCCCTCCCCCACTGGCTCAGCCTTGTCCTTACAAGTCAACTCTAAGAGACAGCTTCTGGCCACCACTTGTTTTGAATCCAAGAAAATAAAGCATGGGGCTGTGCGCGGGAGAATTACTCCGCGAGTCTAACCCGGGAGGCGGAGACTCCCGGGAATACCACAGGCACAGGCAAAAGCAGACTCTCCCGCCTTTCCGGACTAGCCAGTTAGTGCATAAGGACTGGCGAGGGCATAAAGAGAAGCTGGGAAAGGAAAGATGGGATGAGACCGAAAACAGTGAACTTTTCTAGGGCAAGAGGGCGGGGCGGGGTGGGGGGATGGGGTGGGAAACGGAGCAAAGTTCTGAATCCGAGTTCCAGCAGTGGAGCAATCCAGCGAGAGCCGCTAGTGCGCGTAGCGGCTGGGCATAAATTTATTTTTCTTTGTGGACTTTTTTTGCCTTGAGCGGCTGAGACTTAAACTTCCGCCGCTAATATTAGGGGGCAAAAGAGGGAGGAAGCAATTGCTAGGATCAAAACTGATTGTGAGGCCAAAGTCTGAGCCAAGGTCGCTTCTTACAGACCCGGGGAGTTTCCCAGGCCCTCCTGCCCCGCGGCTGGGGCTTCTTTGCACAGAACGCCCTCCCTCCGAGCAGGGTATTGGGGATGGGGCAAGGCGGACGAGGTCAGGAAGCCGCGGGTGGAGCAGCTGAGAAAGAGGAAAAGTAGCAAGTTATCTATAGGTGTTGATTCCAGAGGGCTGGGGTTGGGCCTAGTTACCGGCTACTCCTCCATCATCATCGGCGGCAGAACTTGCACTTGATGATTTTCTTAAATGCGTTTTGAAAATCCTTGTTGAAATAGGCGTAAATGACAGGGTTGAGCAGAGAGTTGGAGTAGCCCAGCCAGTTGATTATGGCGCCCAACGGGGTGGGCATATGGCAGCTGCTCTCGCAGAAGGGCAGAACTAGGGCCACGATGAAGAAGGGCAGCCAGCAGAGAATGAAGGTGCCCATGATGATGCCCAGCGTCTTCACCGTCTTCCTCTCGCGGGCCAGGGCCATCTTGCGCTTGGCCTCGGCGTTGCGCTCATTTTTCTTCTCGAAGAAGACAGGAGCGCAGGGGATAGCACCGGCCTCGCTGGGCAGCGGCAGGTGCTCTTTGGAGTTGCCCACCCGGTACACTTCGATCACCTCCAGGGCGGCGCCGTCGTCACCCTGCCTCGCCGCGCCATTGGCGCACAGAGTCCCCCCTGCCTTGTTCTCCACGCCCTGCCTCCATTCTCTGCTCCCTGGCTCGCCATTTACGCTCTTCCTGGGCTGCGGGGCTGGCGACGCCCCAAGGTGGGTGTCCGCTGCCGCCTTCTCCACCTTCTTCACTGTCTTGCGGATGCGGAAGCGCGCGGCTCGGAAGATGCGCCCATAGAGAACCAGCATGAGCAGCAGCGGGATGTAGAAAGCGCCGAAGGTGGAGTAGATAGTGTAGCCATGGTCCTTGCTGATGGTGCACGCGTCGGGGTCCGAGCGGTCTTCGGGGGTGCGCCAGCCCAGCATGGGCGGGATGGAGATGAGGAAGCCAATGAGCCAAGTGAGCGAGATGAGCGCGGCGGCGCGGCGGGGCGTCCTCTTGTTCACGTAGTCGATGGGGTCCGTAATGGCCCAGTACCTGTCCAGCGCGATGGCGCACAGGTGCAGAATGGACGAGGTGCAGCACAGTACGTCGAGGGCGATGAACAGGTCACAGATGACCTGTCCCAGCGTCCACTTGTTGAGCACCTGGTACAACGCGGCCATGGGCAGCACCAGCACCGAAACCATAAGGTCGGTGACGGCCAGGGAGCCAATGAGATAGTTGGCCACGTTCTGCAGGGAGCGCTCCAGGGCGATGGCGGCCACCACGCACGCATTGCCCAGCACCGCGCAGAAAATGAGGGTGCCCAGCAGCAGAGAGGTGATCACTTGGTAGCTGAAGGTCACGTCGGAGATGCCAGTAGCGTTGGCGCGTGTCCCGAAGGGACCCTCGGACGATGTGGTGTTGTTGCCTTGTCCAGGGCTGAGCACATCCATGCCTGCGCGCCCGGCGGGGGAGGGGGAGGGGAGAATGAGCTGGGCTAGGATCCCCCTCGCCCCTCCCCCTGGGGTCTTCCGCCCCTCTCTCCTGTGGAGTTTCAGGTGGAGGGGATGCAGGGACTCAAGCAGGAAGTTCTTACTGGTCAGGCGAAGGCATCTCCGAGGAGCAGCTTCTAGGCGCTCACCGGGTTCCCGCGATCCAGCGCGCTCAGAGACTCCAGCTGGGAAACGAGTTGGCCAGAAAACAGCTCCGGGATCTCTGGGCGGCGGAGAGGTGGCTGGAACGTCTGTCTCTCGCTGTCCATTTTACTTTACCGCTGCCCAGCTGGCTGCCAGAGCCGGAGTCTCCCCACTAGCCAACAGTCTCCAAGCCTAGAAGTATCTGGAATAGAGAAACCCCATCCTCCACGGTCACTCTGTGACCCTCCTCTCCCAGCTTCTCTCCCTCCCTCTCTCTCACTGTGTCTTCTCTTTTCTTTCTCTTAAGCCTCCTCCTTCTCCCCCTTTCTCCCCACTAGCATTCCCTTTTAGTCTCCCTCTCCCTTCTCACTCTCCTTCCCTTATCCCTCCTGTGTGTCGCTCCACAGCCAGTCTCCCTCCCTCCCACGCTAACCCTCCCCTCCTAACACTTCCCCAACCCTGACTATCTTTCCTCTGCGTCCCGCCCTCCTCTCCCTCCAGCTCAGCGTCTTTGCGTTCAAGCCCCTTTTTGTTGACAGAGACTCAGAACTCGCTTACACACACCCGATTGCCGAATGCCGGTCAGACCAACATTACAACAAAGAATTCCGCCCCCCACCCAGCCAAAGTCGAGGGAAAAAAATTCTAACTACCCATCGCTTCATATTTCTGTCAAATTCTTAAGCAGAGTCAGCCACACAGAGTGGCAGCAAGAAATGAGAAAAGGAGGCACACGGAGCCTGAACGGGGAGGTGGACAGCCCTGGGTCGGTCTGTAAATTATAGTTAATTGATGGAAAGAAGACAAAAGGAGCGTTTCTTAGCTTTTAAAAACCACCCCCGTTCATCATCTCACAGCCCAGCATGACTCCCTTGGGGAGGATGCTGCCTTTGACTTTCTTTTTTAACCTTGGGGAATTGGGGGGAAAGGGATTATAAAGGACATGTCAAAGAACAGGTAAACAGCTGCATCTCAAAGTGAAGAAAAAATCCAATTCGGTATGTATTCTGCATGCACGCGCGCGCGCGCACACACACACGCCTTTCCATCACCATTACTCTTAATTTCAGTGAATATTACATCTCCCCTAGCTCTGTCTCGAGTAAATTTGGGGAAGGGAATCTTTTGCCTATGTCTTGTAAATGAGGTCGGGCATTTTATACGGCCTTTTGCTTTTCTTACCAGAGCTTGCAAACCTCTAGGGAAAACTTGGTGGAATCCCTGGCCGCTGGCCCTGCAGTTTCTCTGAAACCTCCAAAACTGGGTTCAGCACCTGGGACAGCTCTAGGCAATAAGGGCTTATGTCGCCACCTTCCGGCAAATGCTTTAGAGCGCCATCTAGAAACCCTTGTCTTGCAGAAATTAGGCAGGTATTGAGGAAATGCCATAACTTCAAGAAAGAAAAAGACGGTTATTAAAAGAAAGGTAACATTGAGTTTTGTGTTTTTTCTCCTATTTTCTTCAAAAATTTATTTTAGTGTCCTCTTTTGCTCTTAATCTTGTATACAAAGTCTATTATATTCTCTAGCTCTTTTTGAAAGCCTGCAGCATATCTGTCGTTCACAAGGTCTATCTAGGAATGCAGTTTTAACAGATCTAGGCAAACACCCTCACGTGTGTTGGTTTTGTGCTGGCAAAGGCTGCACTTGGGAACTCACACATTTGCACACATTCACCAATGGGAGGAAAAAAACTGTTGGATTTTCCAAATGGGGATGACTTACCATAGAAAATAAAGAGACTGCCAGGGGTTTTATCTAAGCTGTTTCTTTTACCAAGAAAACCAAATTTAATCCCATTTGAACATAGGTAAAGAATGGGTTTCCTAATTCACAAGAATACACATATAACACAACAGAGTTCACTTGTACATTCTGATTACATGACCAAAGTAAAGGAAAAGTGCAGAATGCAATCCTAAAAGCAGATAACTCTAGAGAGCATGCATAGACTCACTACAGATAGCAACAGTCTTAATATTGTGTTCAAATTTGAGCTCTGAATTTCATAGCTTTGAATTCTCCAAGACCAAACAAGAGAGCAATCACCAAAGTTTCAAAGAAAATCTAGTTGGGCCAATGCATACAGTTCAGGACAATGTATTTGGAGAAGGATTATTTGACAATGCAGCCCTGGGCACAGTTCCCACTCAATCATTTCAGCATGCCACAATAATGGACCTGACATTTATAATGATACATGGCATTGAAAAGAAAAAGATAAGTATACATGGTGATTCTGGCTACAGACTCTGAAGAAGTCTTTTAAAATTTTCTAAAGGTACTCATTTCCCCCTTTTAAATTCTGCTCACAAATACAGAACTAAATAGCTTTGTTAAAATACAGTTGCAGGTCCAAAAATTAGAATAGGAAAATAATTAAAATCTGGATTCTCTAAAGGTAAAACTTTGGAAATATAGTTGATAACATAAACAAAGAGTAAAATAAGACAAATTTAAATTTAAAAAAGTAAATATATACATATCAAGGACATAATTGAATAGGAATTGTGTCCAGTTTAGCCACATGTAAATATATGTCAGTAAATATGTCAGTCAGCAATTTGCATTTATCTACTGGATCCCAAATGGTTTAATAACTGACAAATTTATTTTTCCTTTTCAAGAAAGTTAAAATGCTGTAAATCTGGAGTTAATAATAGTTATAAGGTCTGGCATTTGCTATTCTGCTTTAATATTTTGCAACCCAGCATTTTTATTCAAGTTGAAAAAAATCTCCAGTGGTTCATGTTTTCCTTAGAAATAATGAATATAATATTTCAAACATTTCATTTCTTAAAATTTGTAACAAGATTTTTAGGCACTCTTATGAACACTTGGAAGAAAATAGAAGTATAAAAGGATATGCAGCACTGACTATGGTTCTATAACCTTCAAGTGACTAGTAGATAACTATGCATAACTTTTTATTGAACTAATAATACCATAATATACATTAAAGGCACAATGATGTTGCATTTCTTCATGTTCATACTTTGCCAGTTCTTCTATGTTTAACCCTTAAAGATACAGAATCCCAGATATGCCAGGAGAAAATGATGCTGGATAAAGAGTTAGGCTCTTGTTCTTTAAAGCCTCTGAAATTAGCCTAAAGAAAAGCTGGCCGTAAAGCAGATATTATTGATGACACCACTTGAAAACAAAACTTCCAGTCATTCTGCTTTTATTTCTTATTGAGTTTACTAGATGCAAGGACGAACTTGTCAGTTATGGATCCGGGGTTTGATGCATCATCTGTCATGTGAAATTTCTCTAAAATAGTTTACGGGAGATAAAGATTTGTAACATTTTCACAGGAAATTTGATGCAAGCCCAGCATTTCAATGTAGTTCTTCGACCAGAGACGTAAGATAAAAAGATATTAAGCTGAAGTTTTGCTATAAACCCTGAATGTCCTGTCATTACCAAAGGCTCAGTAATGGTTGGGGCTTCTCAGTAATTGATATGTTTATCCGTAATCCCCACATTATGGCTGGTTTTTCTATTACTGAGGAAATAAGCTATATAGTAAAAAGTTGAAAATTTCACTAGGCAGTTACAAAAGTGATTTCTAAAAGCCCCTATTAAAAAAAAGTCTTTACTTTTTTTTCAAGTAAGTGAAACTAGGATAGATTATTCTTTTAAACTAAAAATACTATTTTGAATTTATTTCTCCCCAGTCCTCAAATACTGAAGCAGTAGGCTAACTGTAGTTTTTCCAGAACTGTGATTTTTACTGGAATTCACTAGAAAAAAACTTCAAAGAGAAATGTTTGCATAGATAATTTAGGAAATGTGGTATTCTGATTATCAGTGGGAATTAAGTGGTCATTTATTAGAAATGCAACCAAAATGCAAGAGAATAAATTCTCCTTTAAAACTGAGCACACTTTTTTTGTGTGTCTAATCCTCACCATTCACCTTCCTCCGATGGTATCATTTTTTCAGTGCTGTTTCTACATATCACGGACTTCTCAGAGGCCCAGAACTGCACTGGGTTTTCAGTGGTAAAACGCAAACAGTGGAAGCCACAGTCTCTGCTCCTCAGAATTGTAAGACTGGTTTGGTTCATTTAACACACATGCTAAAAACACAGCATGCAGAGAGTGAAGAAATACGTAACAAATATTACGTATACTAGGTGTCTGACCTTGGGCAAGTTAGTTAACCTTCTTGTTTCCTCGGTAATAAAATGGGTGTAATAATACACTTATGAAGATTAAACGATTTACTACACCACTGGCCCATAATAAACACCCAATAAAGGTTAAACAATAATAGTAGCAATAGCGATGCAAAGTAATCACATGAATTCTCTCTCTACTGGTAATTTCTGAGAAGTCTGGCAAAAGAGAATCAGGTGGGCTTAGTGAAAGAACAAGGCTTGAAAAAAATACTAAGGCCCTTTCAGGATGTATTATGAAAACAATTTACACATGGATGTGACATTCTTTCTATTCCTTAAAGTATTTGGTAAGCTTCCAGTTCTCTAGGAAATTCTGAGTACAAAACAGGTGAAAAAAGATGCAACCTCAGCATGCTGGAACTTCTTGACTTAAATCAGAAGTTATTGAGAGGGAAAAAAAGAACACATCAACAAAAATTCAATAATCAGAATTGAATAGGAGTCTGCCCTTTTTCTGGGAGCTCAACCATTTGTTCAAAAGCATAAAATAAATAACTGAAATTCATAGATCCCAATAAAATGTTTAAAAGTACAGTAAAAACCAAAAGGCAGTATTTTTGTTGTAGGAGATTATCAGATTATAGTGACAGGTGTTAATAAATGTGCTTTCCAGAGTTCATTTCCTTTCCGCTGCCTTCTTTCTGACAATATTTTCGTGGCTCGCTTCTGAAAGGATAAGAGCATAGTTGAGATGAGAAAAATGTTTGTAATGTTAGCCCAAGATTTGTTGTTCATCTAAGGATAGTTGGAAATTAAATTCGGTCTAATAATTATTTGAAACAAAATTTAATTGCTGTATTTAATCTAACAATAGTTGGAGGGAAATGCCTACATTTTTATTTGCCTTGGTAAGAAACGTTTCTGTTATAAAACTAAAACCAATACTCAATGCATTATTTTAATCTTGTTTTAAAACATGCTACTTATATAAAAGCAACAATTGTGATTGCAAAATACCTGTCCATAACTGTGCCATTTGGTCTATTGAAGTAGTCATGTGTTAGTTGGGAGTAGTGGCTCAGGGCCACAGTTCTGGATTCCAGTGACTACTCTGCCATTTACCAGCCTTGAACTTTTCCTCAATTTTTTCCATTTTATTAGGCATTATATAAGATTTACCAAACATACACAAAATAATATAGTGTAAAGAATTCTTTATTCTTCCTTAAATACAATAAATACCTATACGATTAAGAAA